AAAAAAGTTTCATCAATTGCAGTAGTGTATCGTGTGGATCTCTCACTTTCACTTATCAACTGAAACGATCTGAATATTTATCTGATATGATGCATGCGTGGTAGGAACGCTGAAATGTTTGCTGTTGTACAAGTAGCAATAGTATCGATAGTATGTCATCAATGTCACATAAAGTGTCATGCATGCACATACCAGTTGTTTGCTTGAATGCATTTGAACGTTTTCTTCATCATTTCGTTGCAATTCTCTTCACTTTGTTGCATTTATCAAATGATTGATAAAGATTTTCTTCTGAGACTCAATCACTTTTCACAGAATTATGAACTCGTTTAGCGATTCAACGCTAGTGGTACGCATATTTTGAATCCCAACTTTCAAACCTTCGACTTTCAAACATCATTTCATTCAAACTTTAGGTGCGGTGACGAATACATCCAGTGATATTTACTATATCAGACGACGTATTCTTTAGCATTCGATACTGTTTTATGAGCTTCCTCCAAAATGTTATCAGCTTTCTGTTGGATTTTTCAGCAACAAATTACTCGTAGTGAAATAAATGTTTCTCACAAATGAACAATTCAAATTGAAGAATTTATTCGTCACATTTTTCTGGGTCCCTTTTTCACCATTTTATATGTTCAATCAACCGACGTTGAAATGATTGGGTTTGGGATTGAATATGTTTTGAATACTTCAGGACATGAACGAATGCCTGTAAGGAAAGCAGCGTTTTTGCATATTCTTTTGTTGAAGAAGAAGTTTCTCGAGAAGCATATTTTTAGTGGGATATTCTTCTTCACTCGCACTAGATTCCAAAGAATGGCGGAGGCGATTCAACCAAAAGCTGAGGAGAATGAATATTTGCAAGATGTGCACATCAATGAGAATCTCGCCTCTTCGCGATACGTCCATCTTGAGCAAATTCAGTTCAAACGGGTTGGTCTTTTGCTCATTCTTTTTGCTTCCNATTGTAATTATCTCCTCTCCAACCCATTTAGAGCGACATTGGTTTTTCACTGTATAAGTTTAAGTGTTTAGAATTGCTGTTTCAGTGCCCAGAGTTTCAGTGTCATGCAAACACAGCATTTTTAATAGAGTGGATATTTTTAAAAAAATTCAGTTAAATTTTCCATCGCATACTGATATTTTACCCGCTCAAGGGAGATAAGATCGTCAAATGGGATATGGCACTTCGGCCGGATAGCGTTGCGTGTGTCATTTATCATCGCGACAAGAAATCACTGATGTTCGTCAAGCAGTTCAGACCTGGTATGGTTTTTTAGAAGTTTCTATTGGGTTTCGATATTTACCATGAAATCGGTTGTTTTGTTGAATATACACTATCTTGTGAAGGAACCGATCGTAACACGCTAATAATACAGTGTCAAACAATTCAGACTTTAGTAACTTATCCATTCTGATGGCTTACAGTAGTCACATTGTTGCGCTCATTTGATTCTGTTTCAGCAATTTTCGTGTCACTTGTAAGGAAGATGCCCGAAAATCGCGGTAAAGAAAGCAACGCTATCGACTGGTCAAAATATCCGATCAGCATTGGTGAAACAATCGAGCTGTGTGCCGGTCTAATCGACAAACCAAACCTCAGTGAAGTGGCACACATGCGTGAGGAGATCATTGAGGAGTGTGGTTACGATGTACCTGAATCCAGTATCAGACTGCTGAAAAGATTTGTGTAATTTCTTGATCTGTTTCCCTATCTCATTACTCCTGAAGGATTGAATCGCTTGTCTTATCAGTTCAAACAATACATTTGCACTGAAACGTTGGAAAAAATACTTCATTTACAGCACTGGAATTGGCGTGTCGGGTTCACATCAGTTTCTTTACTATGCAGAAGTTGACGACAGCATGAAAGTCAGCGAAGGTGGTGGCACAGATTCTGAACGCATTCAAAAAGTGAGTTGAATTTGCTTCAACAATTACATTTGTGACTGACAATGGAATCGTATATTTACTCTTACCACTTTTGGATGCAAATTGTTCGTGATTGTTCCATATCTCAATATAAGATATTCGGCATATTGAGTGCATTCCGCAGAAATTTTCGAGAAATGAGTTCCTCCATTCACTCTAAATGATTTCAATACTTTTCTCTATGTATGAGCACAGAAATTATACGAATGTGTCGTATATTATAATTTCATTTCTCTTACAAACNTAAGATTTTCAGGTATTCATGACATTACCCGAAGCTGAACGATACAGTATGGCCACTGAAGTGCTGAGTGCACCAGGACTTTTGTATGGTCTAGAGTGGTTCTTCCACCACAGCAAGTATTCCTCACACTGATACTAAAAGTCTCATCTGCGTTCTCGTTGATATCGATTTAATTTATCTTTCGTTTACGCTGTTACCGTGTTCAGTATTACATGGCTCTTTGAATGATTTCTTGAACGTCTGATTATTTCGTTAATTTTCGATCTTCTTTGATTTCAATTTTCCGCTATCTTTAGGCATCACATTTTGTTCATTTGAACTCATTAACGTTCGTTCACTACTATGAATTATGTCGAATTATGACTCAGTGAATTGTGTTCATGTTGTTCGCTTAATGCATATTCGTTCATAAATGAAATTTTAAAAAAATAGGTGCGTAACGAACATTAATAAAATTTGATGAGCTGTTTGAACGGATTTTTGTATGGAGTGAACCGAATGATTCAATGCAGATTGTTGCTTCAGAAGTCTCATCCCTACGCGAACAAAAGATTACTTTCGGCGTTTATTTGCAATAACAGAAATCATATTATCCAAACAGAAAGGATTAATATTATATAAACACAAAGAGAGAAAGTCATCCAAGCAATACATAAGAAAGTTCTATTTTATCATCACAATCAATAGGGCAGTATGAGATGATCAACTAACCACAAATGGATAAGGTGATCATCCAACAGTACATACAAATATTCTATTTCATCATGCATATGTTATATCCGTTTACATTTATCCTATCTTATAAGTAAACAGTTAAGGTACTAGGCGAAAGGTTGATTCATATATCACTTTGGCCACAGATCACTTTGATCTACCTTACGAAATATGTCGTTCGCGCTT